ACTTCACTGCCTCGTATACTTTACTGAGGGCGTCCCTCTCTCTGAAAGCCGAGCTCAGCTGTGCTCAAAGATTGTCATTTAGTTAAGACCACTTGCCGACTTTCTCCTTCGCCACCCAAAGTTGGACCTCTACCGATGCCATCTTAGCCTTGGCGGTTTCCTTCTCCGAAACCAGCAGGTCCATTTTGCTTTTGGACCCGTCGGACATGTCTTGGATCTCGTTCATATCGGCTCGAAGTTGGTCGATCAGGTCGATCTCCTGTTGGACCTGCGAGGTTGTGTTGTTAGTCACCACGACTAGCTTCTCATTTTTAGCTTCAAAGACCTTTACTTTTTCAACAAGGTCGGCATGCTCTTTCCTCAGGGTCAAAGCTTCCTTCTGAGCCCTGTCCAGCTCGGCCTGAACGTCCTTGATGTCCCCGTCTTGTTGCTCGCTGAGAAGCTTGTACATATCCTTCTTTTGAGCCTGCTCCTTGAACTCGAACTCGAGCTGGTTGATCTTGGAGTGGTATTGGAGGAAGATCTCATGGTGAAGAATTGAGGTCTACAAAACAACGAAAATAGTTAGAGATATCAAAACCTAAGTGGAATTCAAGAGGGAGTATTCATGTCTTACCCGGTTCAGAGCCTATTGCGCCTCATTGAAGAGTCACGATGCCCCCCACCTTCGGGAGCTGACAGAAACTGAGCATCCTTCGGGACAGTAAGAATAACCGATCTCTTGCGACCGGGGTCCACACTCGGAGCGGGAAACTAATTATTCAATTTTGGGCTTGAACTCGGCCCGCAAACTTCCAAAGGGGCATCCTTCTTTGGAATCTCTAAGTCGCCCAACCCCGAAAAATCTACCAAAGTAGACGTGTCCACGCCATCGAAGAAGGAGTGGAGAGGATCGCCTGCGCCGTGAAATCTTTCACTTGACTTTTCCTTTCCTACTTGGGCCTCCTCAATCATGGACTCGATGTATGAAGGCTTCTTAACAATGTCTTACACCGGTCGCCTCCTTTCAAAATGGAAGCATCTTCTCGAGAGGTCTCGGCCCCGGTCTCCATTTCGGCCTCCCTAGTCGGAGGGAGATCAACCTCATGGCTCTCTTCCGCCACTGCCTACTCTCCGCCAGGGGTCGATCTATGGGCAACAAAGATATCATCTTCTTTGAGTTCATCCCTGAGCCGGTAAAGCAAATCGGAGTTCGGTACCCGGGACCTGGTATTCTTCTTGGGCTTGCGGGCCCGAGTGGCCGACCTCTTTTCCACCTTCACCTCGGACCCCTCCGAGCCCAAGGAATTTTTTTTCCTCTTCCTTTTTTCCTCTGCGACAGCCCTAGGCTGTCCTATAACGGAGGGATCAACAGATGGGGACGCATCCTCACCCCCTTTTAGTGGTCTAAGTTCAGTGGTCTTAGGCAAACCTGCAAAAGAAAGAGAAAGGGTTAGCGTTATGTATTTTTGGGGCGTAATATTAACTATTCTAAATGGATCCTTACCATGTGAATGGGCCTCCCATCGGCCCTTCGAAAGCTTGCGCCACAAGTGCTCAAAATACGACATCTGCTTGCAGATGCCTTCGATCCATTCATTGAGCTGGGGGAACGTATTGGGAACCCGAGCAATAGCTGCACGATCACAAATGCTGACGGTGAGAAAAGGAACAAAGAAAACTCGACACTTAAGGAAAGAATACACTTACGAGATGCATTCCACTTCTCGAGGAATGGTAAACTCGGGAGGGATTAAATCTTCGGTGTTCACCCGAACGAAGCGGCCCTGTCAGCCCCAGTCTCAATCTTCGTCAATGCTCGAAAATAGGGCCTTGCTGGCCTGGCGAGTGAGCTTGATTAGTCCCCCTCTGAAAATTTAAGGACTATATAGACGGAGCAGGTGGTCCAGGGTGAACCAAGGAGACTCGGTGTTATTCGCAAAGTAACGGAGGAGGATCACGATCCTCTAAAGAGATGGGTGGATTTGGCCAAGCCACAACTCGTATCTCTTGCAAAATTCCCAAACAACTCGGTCTACTGGGCCCAGTGTGAAGGGATAAGTATAAATACTTAAATACCGCTCAACATGAGTAGTGATATCGTCCTTAGGGCCGGGGAATACCACGTCCTTACCTCCCCATTTACAGTCCTCTCGGACAATGGGGAGGTATCTTTAGTGACAGAGCATATGTATCTCGATGCCCCTTCACCCCGGTCTTTCTTGGATGAGGCCTTCTCGACTTTGAAGTCGTCTAGGATTAAACAGCCCCCGGGAATAAAACTTTTCATAGGGGGATCTAGGGCCGCTTCGACGGCAGCCACTTCGGGAGAAGCCACCTGGGGAGCAGCCGTCTCGAGAACAATCGCTTCGGGGGCGGCTGCCTCGATACCTGTGGTCGGGTGAGAAGATGAAGAGGCAGCCTACTGAGGAACTAATTTAGAAGTCTTGGCCATCGTAAATCTGGAAAATATATGAAGATTGGAGTAAAGTGTACGAAGATTCAAATTTGAAAGTGAAGATATGCGGTTCTGGGTTGAAAATACAAGAAAATGTATGAAGGTTGGAGGTTGAATATGAAGATATGAAGGTTCAAGAAACAATGTATGAAGACGAAAGCCTTTGTAGAGCTCGAAGGTAAAGATCAGGATCAGAAACTGAAGGGGGCGAAGCTTTTATAAAGGAAAATGTAATCATTACGCGACGTTTCACATTCGGAGGTGATCAGCCGATGGTTGTCACGTGTTCGAAGTCAGAACGACGCAACTGATGGGACGTTTCAACTTCTTCGTCGTCTCGGTTGTAACGTACGAAGAAGGAATCGGGGTACATTTATCGTTTCGAATTGTTTTGGTTGACCTTCTCTATGAGAAACGAGGGGGCTATCTGTATACGGGTGAACTCAGGGTCAGCTCACACCTCGAGTTCTCGATGAGTCTGACGAAGTACGAATGTATGAGATAGAGACCGAGTTCGAGAAGTCATTGATTCGAGGCCGAAATAGGGTGCTAGCCACCGGGCCCAATAAGTCAACACCCCCCGGATCCGGAAGGAGTTTGAAGACCTCGGAAGGCAGTACAAACGGTTGCACATGACTAATAGAGGGTCGTGATATCCGCATCCAACCGGATATCACGGCGCGGATCTCGCTCGAGGCCGGTAGCGTATTGGTGATTGATGTTCTAGGAGGATTTTTACCTTTCTTAGAACTGTACTAGGGGTAAAACTCCCCTGCTATATAAAAGGGAGGTTTCTTATTCAATGGACGTATGGTAACACGCATATCAAAGCAATATAAATTTGTTTCTCTGCTTTCTAGTTATTGAGAATTTCTCAATTTAATCATAGTTCTTCGTACACATTTGGCTTCGATTCGAGGGCCTGGTCGAGGGTAAAATCCATGTTGAGCTAAAATCCGAACCCGGACTCAACGTTACCACTGGTTTGGTTATTGATTTCATCTTTAATTCGTTTATCTATCATTCTTGATTTCTTGTCTTGAATCTATCCACATATGCTTAAAATCGCGTACAAATTTAATTGTTATCCGTTTTAAAGGTAAACAAATACAATAATAGGAATGGACAAAATAGAAGGTTAGCTATTATTAAATCGATTATGACGCCCTAGATGATGAAACCACGCACCATTTTTTAATAATTTCGTTTATCACCTAGTATAATATCGAATTGAAAGTGGGACATCAAAGATCCACATCTAGATTGATTTATTTAATCTCATACTTAATTACAAGGTTTATTAAGATTTTTTAAATTATTTCTATTTTTGTACTCTGTCCTCTGACAAAGCACACAATTATAGAAACTAGCGGTAGAAGCGACTAAATCTGGAAAAATCCAGTTTGACCTTTATTGAGTAATGACCATGCTCGGGTTTTATTTTTCAAAAATATTTTTGGAATGGAAGGTTCTTGATAAGAGAAGATAAAGGTCTATTGAAGACCAAAATTTGCATCTACAGATATATATCTCTCGCCATAATTTTCTCGGACCAAAAAACTAAAAAAGAAAAAACGAGTTAATTTTAAGAAAAAATGAGTTAACTTTAGGATTGAGGTCGAGGAGATGAAAGTATCAAAAATGAGAATGTTGAGATAGATGTGCAAGCATACAAGGTCAGATAAAATTAGGAATGAAGCTCCCGGACAAGATGCAGAAAGCGAAGCTTAGATAGTTCGGTACGGAAAGACGCAGTGTCCCAGTAAGGAGGTGCGAGAGGTTGACCTTGGTGGGTATGAAAAGGAGGTAGAGATAGCCCAAAAAAGTGTTAGAAAGATGTGATTAAGCAAGACATGGCGATGCTTCAGGTTGTAGAAAAATGACTATGAAAGTCGAGAATTAGTATAGAGGATTAATAAATAGTCGAGCGCTTTTCTTTTCAGCACTAATAATATCAGTGTAGTCTTGTATTTTCTTAGTCATAAATCTCTATTATTACTTATTATTTCTTTCACTTTGATTGTTTCTCAGCTATCCTAATATTATTGTTATTGCTTGTTGCTATTGGTTCTTTTTCATCTTTTTTTTTTAGCCAAAAGTAAACGCTCTTTAATTCGACCTTTTAAAGATATAGGTAAAGTCTGCAAACCCTCGGTAGACCCACTAATGAGATTATAGTAGGGTTCCTTTTATTGTTTGTTAAGTCCCTCTCACCATACTAGCCATGTCTGACACATATTAGTCATGAGAACTGATTCAAAGGACAACCATTGACAGTGACAATTCATCCCCATCCGGTGATCTTTCCCAGAAAACAAAACCATCCCATTTTGTACATCTGCCTACTTGCCCTCTTTTCTTTTGACTCTGCCCTTTATTTTCACACGTCTAAAAAAGAATAGAAGAAAAAAAAAAAAGGGAGAACTTTGACCTGCGCTACCCATTTGACGTCAGAGACGTTCTTAGTATGAACAAGACTAATCAAAAGTTCCCCATTTTAACAAAAGATATGTACCGTACTTGTGAAAGAGTTTTAGTACTCTTTCTACTCATTACACATCAATTACCCAAAGACGTTAATTTGTTTATTCCATCTCATTACTCAAATGGGAATTTGAAGTAGTTGGGGTTTTGTTACAAGTAAAAGAATGAAGACAAAAATAATAGTATAAACAAGTTACAATGAGAGGTTGGTGAAAAGAACGACTGCGAATGGGGGCAGCAAATTAAATTGGCAGTTTATAGTCAGAAGAATCTAATAGAAGACTAGTTGAAAATCTTTCCTTCAGTTAGTTTCGGACAAATGCGGAGGAGACATATATTTTCAAAAGAGTTAGAATTTCCAAAAACTTTTGTTTCTATTTTTCTTTTCCCAACCAAGAGCCTTGGGTAATACTATGTATTAAGAATCTCAACCCTTAACTCTTTACAAACACAAGGTGAAAATGGCAAAGAAATATGATGATGAAGAAGTGGAATATGGTTAATTAGAGGGTCTCATGAGGAAGCCATTTTCTGAGGACCAATTTTCATGAGGTCTTACTGTCTGCTGAGGGAATCCTGATGATGCTGCAGCAGCTGCAAATATCTGAGGAGGATAACTGGATTGCCATTGTGAAGAAGCAATATTGCTTGTTGAGAGCGAAATTTCTTCTACATTTGTAGCTCCAATTCTGCCTCCATTGCTGCCGCTTGGAAATTGAACCTGTATACATATATGTCATGTTACAACAATTAAAAATAGCTCCGAAAAAGATAGGATTAAAATTAAGAGGCCACTTATAATGGTAAATGATAAAATTGGACATATATTCACTTGATAATTTGATGAGCTGAACTGATGTGGAAACATTTGAATCATATGGGATTCACCAGGTCTCATAAATTGGCCAAACCGTTGCACTTGACTATTATTATTAGGTTTCAACGAGATTGGAGAATGTAGGTGTGTCTGGCTCAAGAGCTGCAACGTTTCTGATTCATTGTACCCATTCTCTCTTCTTCCAGCATTCATATCAACTGGAGCAGTTTGCTTCTGGAAAATAAAACATTTTGCATTTGAAGATCAAAAGAAAAAGGAAGATACACACCTAATGTTAAACTATAATATTCATCTAATTAATTATAACCTCAGGCCTTAATCCTTGCTGCCGCCAACCAACATCAAATTGCATAGATGAAGGATTTTGAACCCTAGTATTACTATCCCCAGTTTCTCGGTTTCCTTGCTTTGAGCTTGAACCACCCAAACTTAGGTCAAGATTGTGATCTGCTGCGTTATCACTACATTCTGGAAAACCACACTAATGAATATTTTGCAGCTTCTGTCTAATTTTCTTTTTCTGATCTTCTGTTAACAAAATTACAGCAACTTAATTACCTCGTAGAAAGCAATTAAATGTAGTATGGTATTTACCAGCAGAGTTGAGTTCATTTTCATAAATGCTAGGATCAAAGTTAGTAACTGCTTCCTTCCCATTACACTTGATGGCAGCTTTATCATAAGCCCTATAAGAATAATATTGTTGAAGCAAAATATTTAAATTAGAAAAACATTAGCCGCACTATATATTCAATAAATTAAAGGCCTAAGGCTCTCTATTTAGTAGTAATTTGAGAGCAAGCAATGGAAAATAATAGGAAGAATAAATTAGGCAGTGCAACCACACACCTGGCAGCTTCAACCTCAGTATCAAAGAGGCCCAAATAAACGTATCTATTCAACAAAAATTCGAGAATAAAAGTTACTTATTAGGTAGCAAAGAATAGAATTGAGAACAAAAGGATTATTCTTAAGAAAATGGATTGAACCCATTCAGAAGAATAATAAGTATGAGAATAGGATTTATTTTTTTACTGTATACTTTTTGCCTAAGAACTGTCCCATTCTAGCTTCCCATCTACCACATTTGTGCAAAGTTACCCCTCTATACTTGGAGCTTCCCCTCGGAAATCCAGTACTTTGCCTCCGAAGCACATGCACAAATTCTTCCTTTGTTAAATTGGTCATCTGTATCATACAAAAAAAAATATACTCCTATGTTATCGAAAAAAGAATCAAAAACAATTTCGTCCAATCAAAATATAACTGTTGAAGATAAGGAAAACACTGTTTGAGATAAGGCCAGGATTATACAAAAGTTCTCCAACCAGACAGGCACACACACACAAAAAAAAAAAAAAACCAAAATATAAAACACACTTTTCCTAATCTGTCACGCTGATCAGATCATGAAACTACCTGTTTCAAGTCGGACTCATAATCCTCTAAGTTAAAGTTTATGTCCGCTTCCACTCCCCGGAATTTGATAGCTGCCCTATCGTATGCCCTGTAAATTTTTTATATTTTAATTTATCAGATACAATTTAGAAACAAAAACAATAAACATTCAATATTGAGAACCAGGAACTCACCGAGCTGCTGCATGTGCCGTATCAAATCCACCTACACAGAAATATTGATAAAAAGGAAACCCCGTTTAAATTATCAGATTAATTTTCGGATGTGAACAGTAGTATTAATTACTAAGCTAAAAACTCAGTTCAGAAAAATAAAGATCACATACCTAGATAAACTTGCTTTCCACAATCCCTGAAATTATTAAAGCAATGAGGAAAAGGAACACGGGTAACAAATTCAGAAAATTAAATAACGAGAGCGATGGTAGGTATAAATTGGAATCGTCAAAAATTGGAGCGTGAAGTAGATGGTTTTAAGGGCTCACCATATGTGAGACTCCCACCGGCCAGTTCTCCGGTAAAAGGTAACCCCACGGTACTGTGAGCTCCTAGACCTTGGTCCACGGCGGCTCTTCTTCATAGGATGCTGCTGCTGTTGCTGAGCCACATCCATTAGCTTACTCGCTCCCGTGTTGCCAAGTGGCTCAGTTTGGTAAAATTTAACTCCAACCCAGTGAGCCATGGGAAAATTCGTGGGTCCATTGGTAGGAGCACCCGTTTCAGACTCATCAACCGGAAAAAACTGACGGGTTACCGGTTGTTCCTCATCGTCGTTACCGGGACCCATCACGGAGAACCCGAATATTTTGTTGCTAGGACTATTTCTCTTTTTCTTGCCTTTTTCTCCATCTTCCTCCTCCGAAATATCATCAATAGCTACTGCCGATGAACTTGAATTCGAAATGGATCCGACCCGTTTACCATTCTCATCATCGCCCTCTTGCTCTATAGGAGAAGAGCAGCCTTCGTCTGATTTATCATCCCTTCGTCGATCTGGAGAATCGTTTAGATCCCACATTTGTCTACACTCCATAAACCCAAGAATCACAAAACTATACAATAAAAAATAGTAGAAGAAAATTTTGCAGATATTTTATGGGTCAGCTCCTCTCATTTCCGAGCCAGGGGGTGGGGTGGGGTGGGGTGGGTTTGGTGGTGTGGGGGTTATGGCTATTGCTACAAAAGGACTTGTTTTCAGTTTCCTAAACTTTTAAATATTCTCTCTCTCTAGTTGTGCTTCTCTTTCTCTCTTTGTCTGTCTAAAATAGATGCGTGGAGTTGAATATATAAAATAATGATGAAAAATCGAAAGTTGTGTGCTGAGTATTGAAAGAACATGAAACCTACGACTTATAGAGAGGTTAAGTTGTTGGAAAAAGAAAGTTAGTGGAGAGAGATATAGGGTTAGATAGTAGTAGTATATGTTTCCCACTTGTATTAACTATACTACTACTAGTAGTATTTCACTAGATCTTGTGCCATTCCTCTCCTAGCTGCCCAATACAGACATGAATAACGAGACCAATTTTAGAACACTACCCCTAAAAGCAGCCACCCCATTTACCGATGTAGGATTGCATATAGGTGTTCGTAACACGCAGCGGAAGACAATAACAATCCTAGGCAGATTTTTTCGTGTTTAAAATTTATTTACTTGTCAAAGATCGGATCTAAGACGTATCCGGTGAAGAAAGTCTTGTTTCAAAATTTCTTCGATAGTGCGAAGACTCTATGCGTATCCACACCAAGACCGATCCTTACTATCAACTCTTTGATCAATGAAACCCGTGAACAAATTGAATAAAATTATGTGCTGAAATTCTCAAAGTCCAGCCAACAGCACGAGAAGAAAACTAATTTTCTTTGCTGAAATTATCTCTTGGTGCAGTTCCTCCGAAGAACTACTGTTGGTCTCGTATTTGGGTGATCAATATGTATATAAATACATATCACCAGCTTTTCCCTTTAGGTTATGGAAAAGACTAAGGCGGCAATGTTGAGATCAATACCTCAATTGGACTTTAATGATTTTATATTAAAAAATTATAATCCCATTCCTAATGGAATCGTAGAAGCCCGAAGCCGACAGTACTTTAACGTGAATCCAATTCCAATTGGATTTCACGTTTACAAAGTTTCCATCAAATCTTTTTTTTTTTAATATTTTATATAACATATCCTATATATATATAACCAAGAGATATAATTTAATTTTCTATTCCAAATAGAAAACTTCAATTTGTTCACAATATTAATTATATTCTCTGTGCTAGCAAAGAATATAATAATATTTCACTTGGACTAATAACTAAATTTGTTTGACTAATTAAATTCTTTAATTTAATTATCAAACAATAAAATAGTTAATCCTTTAGCAAAGATCTGAACACTCGTTAGTGTGCGACCCCATAGGTTCAATACTAAGCTGGTAGTAAATTGATCATATCAATATACTAATCAAGGGTGGCGTCTAGCAACACTCCTTAACGACCGGATAGCATGAAGTATACAATTTACTCTCAAGAACCAGTAGAAGAATAATGTAGTAATTCCTTCTGTCCTTATAGCTCTGGATCACCCTAGGATATGGTTCAACTGTCAAATCCTAATAGGCGACCAACTATGTGTTCATGTCAAATATAATTGACCATTGAATGAGCTAAGAAACTCATTTCTTCTTTCATTCAACCTGACCAAGGTCTTAGTTGGGTCGTTTATAATTCATGACAACGTGAAGCTTAAACTCATTACCAAGAGTTGACAGATTCCATCTTGATCAACCACTAATTCTACAAGTATTTAATCGTACCCAATATCCTTTCAACTATCGCCCTAGGGCCATAGGTGTCTGGTATCAAAGCACAATAAATAACTTGTCAATTACTATGACGATCTCAAGTCAAAGGAAATTATTACATCACATTCTTCAAGAGAATATCCTATTGACAGTTTATGGTAATTCTAACCATTAGGAATTATCCAATGAGTCGGTTCAATAACCATATCTCTATATGCATCATCTATCTATGTAATTTAGTTAAAGAGATCAACTAATCTTTATCCCATAAAGACGATCACATAAATATTGATCTAACCGGATTACTAATGTCCAAATTAATAATCCTACGATCAAGAACAAATTTAGATTAAATTATAAGAAACTTTACTCTCATTATCATGATCTCCATCACAATGTCAAGTCTCAAAATTTAATCAAGGACCTTATCAAATTAATCAAGCAATTAATAACAATGATAAAAGAATATCAAATGCCATATATATTTTATATCAAATGATGTTCACAAAAATATGTTCAAATCATCAAATATGATATTGGATCTACGGCATATTTACTATATCCCTAACACCTAGTACTACTAATCTATTTTCTTCTCCCAACTCACGTACCTTTCTCTCTTGTTTAATCATTCATAAATACTTTTGCTTCGTTTTTTTAAACTGGCTACTTCATTCACTTTTTTCTACTTGCACTAGTGTGTTTAACCAATCACTTTACACACTTTAATGAAAGGAGAACTGTGTACCCACAGTAATAACTTTACTGATCTCCAAATCTATCTGATATTTTCTTATTGGTTGGACTTGGCTGTTCAAAGAAAGAAAAGGAAAAACAAAAGGGTAAAAATTTAAAGTAAGAAGGGTCTCTTTCTTACGCAACTTTCCCACGTTAACCAAATCGAAAAGCATTCTCTCCATCCATTCCTTTGATTTTTCTTTCTCTCTCTGAATATATGTATATTTGTAAAATATCCACTAATGGAAATAGACAGCTGCAAGACTGAATGGATGACTTACTACTCCATTACCTTTATTAGCTACAACTAATTGTCATTTCCTTTTCATTCATCCACTCCCACGTTAGACAAAATCCCCTTTATCTCTCTCTTAGATTTTCTTTTCTTTTCGTACTGATTTTTATTTAGGATTAAAATATACTGCCTACCAGTGTTTTAAGCACCAAAAACGTCCTGAGGCGATGGTGTGGGGCGAAAGTCTCAAGAAGCGTACGTCCAGCAATTCGGGGCGTACGTCTGGGCGTTTGAGGCGCATTTTTTTAGTGAGTCGTAAGCCTAGAGACTTTTTTAAATTAAAACAAAATTTGTTGAACAAGTCCTTCATATAATACCCAAATTCTCAAAATTTTTAAAAAGGAACTGAAATGTATCAAAATTTAAAAGTCAAGACCATTTTTTATTGATTGAAAACCTATTTCATGGTCTTTCCCGATTCTTTATCTTGTCTGCTCGTTTGCTAATATCTCCCAAAAGCAACGAATATTCAATTTCTTTTACAAATACAAAGAGAACTTCATTTTCCTTCATAGCAGCAAGTTAAAAGTTCAAATTGCAGGTTAATTAGTCATCCTTTTTGTTCAGTAGAAAACTTTATTCTTTTCGACTCAACTTACTTGTGCTTCTAAGTAGCGTATAATAGATTGTTTTGAATAGTCTTTTATGGGGATGGAGCACATCTATATATATTTATTTATAGTTTTCTTCAATTTTTATGCAATTTTACCTGTTTATAAATAGTTATCGTAATTATATTATCTTATAAAATATTAAAAATTAAATACCTATGGGGTTTACACCCCGTATCTCGGTGCTTACGCCTCGCCGAGCCATATGTAAAACGCCTCACCTTATGCCCACGCCTTTTAAAATACTGCTGTTTTTAAAATACTGCTGCCTACTTTGGTGTTAACTTTTTACTATATAATTATTATAATTTAATTGGATATAACAAACTATTACTCTATTTTCATGTTACAATATCAATCGTGCTATTTAGACAAATTTAATTTGATTATATAAATATTTTATACAGCTTATAGATGTACAAGACTCTTTTATCTTTTTATCATTTTCTTTTTCAACTTGCATTCAGTGCTTTTTGTTTTCACCTTGTTTTACTATTTAGGAAATTGGGGGAAAAAGTTGTGCTTCTAATTTAGGAAAAGGGATGGTAAATATGGAGTGGAAAGAGGGGTGTATTGGGAATAAAAATATTGGGAATTATTGTGATTTGTGAGTCAGGGTGGATCAGGTCCACGGCAGAGGGGCAGAGGGGTTTGGTTTCAGAAAAGGGAAATTGGAATAATAGCAATAAAAGGCAAACTTTCCAGAAATGTCCAATCCAAGAGTACGGGAGTGGGCCCACCCTTTGCCGCATTTGCTCTTCCACTGACCAATGGCTTTCTTACTATGTACCCATCGTATTTATTAACCTAAACTAAATCCTCCTCCACCACTCTCGCTTCTCCAGCGCGTGGCATACCTTTCTATTTCTTTCTTTCTTCTTCTCTCGCTCAAAATAGATCGACGTTACGAATCCTCGTAGTGCCACACCTTCTGCAGGTATTTAGTTCTATATTTTATTTTTGCAAACCCACTGTTGACCTTTATGTGTTCATTAAAGAAGATACCTAATTATTTAAGCAACTATTAATCGTTAATAAATAATGACCTTTTAATAATTATCATCAAGCAATTAGTCATACAGATAATAATAGCTTTTGGCTTGATTTACTAGTTGACCTGTGCATAATAGTAAAGTATAAGGGTGTGCATGGCAAATAGAAAACTCCTCAACTGAATTGAAATTCAAATCAAACCGAGAAAAAAAGGGCACTCTTTTAGTCTGAAGTGGTTTTGGTTTTAAAATTTAAAAATGATCAAACCGTCTCTCTATATATATATATGTATGTATGTAAGTAAAAATTTTATATACTGTTATAAAACAATAAAAGAACAAGAGCAATATTGCAGAGAAAGAGAGAGAGAGAATTCTTATTGAATTTTTGGGATCAATTACAATAGAGTATAACCCTCTATTTATAGGGAGATGGTGACTTAGTCACCAAGTAATAAACCCTAGAATCTCTCTAAATATGGACATTCACCATAAATAGGATTCTATTTATAACACTCCCCCTGAATGTCTATTCAACAGATAATGTGCCTCGTTAAAACCTTAACTAAAAGAAAACCCAATGGGAAAAAACATTCTAGAAAAGGAAAAAGAGTACACATGTTTAGAAATGCGCCTATTGGTTGCCTCGTTAAAAACATTGCAAGGAAAACCCAGTGGGACAAAACCTTGTAAGTGAAAAAGAGTACAACGCGCATTAAATCCCCCTGATGAGAGCATCAATTCACATCCTTGAGCCTTCGCATCCCGATCTTGTACACTAGCTTCTTGAAGGTTGACGTTGATAGGGATTTTGTGAACAAATCAGCCATATTATCACTTGAACGAATCTGTTGCACATTAATATCACCATTCTTTTGAAGATCATGTGTGAAAATAACTTTGGTAAAATGTGCTTTGTCCTATCTCCTTTTATGAATCCTCCCTTCAATTGAGCTATGCATGCTGCAT